ATTGCTTAATCATGTGTGAGCCATCCTGTGCCCCAATTACGCAGCTGAAGAAGGGCTAGAAGCGAGTGTCATTTCTTATTTTAGATGGTACTGGAGTGTCCTTAGTAGGCATATCAACATATATTTTTTTAGAGCGCCAGATTGATGTAGTATATTGCCTTTCTTATCCCATTGAATACTGTCTGGGTACTCCGTCCAAATATTCGAGCTAAATATGCATGTGTCATTTTTTTGACCTGTGAAGGCGAGCCACATATATAGCATCTCGTGAAATCCTACATTTGGCCGTCCATCAAGTTTATATACCTTTTTAATCTCTATAATAAGTTTCTCAAACACAACGAGAGGCATTCTCAAACACTGTTTATGTACGCGGTGGTTTAAAGTATTTATTACTCTTTCAATATTCTCTAGTCTACGAAAGTGATTCTCATTGTATACGTTGTCGCGGTGTCCACCTGGACCATATATTTGATAGAGTTTTTCTATACAGTCACCTATAGCGTACATAGTGCTTTCTGATCATATTCGCAACTATAAATAAGCGAGCCATATGCTGCTTACTTACTTGCAACTGGCATTCTTCACACTCTTCATCGTAGCCTGTTTCACCGCACATACTACCCATCAAAGCGTACAAGATGAAGTTATAATAGAACTGGAGAATACGTATGCATAATTTATATACAAATATAAGTGTCCAAAATTCAAAATACGCATGTGTTTTGTTGTATGCTTTTTCGCGCTCAAAAGCCAAAGAGTATTCCGAAATTAGAATGCTCTTTCTTCATTCATTTCTTTGTCAAAATGAAAAAGCTCTTTTTCATTTTCAAAGAAATACACAACAAAATGAAATACGGCTTCAATATTTTTACGTCGTAAAATGCAAAATTTGGAATTGGCAAAAGCAACGGAATTGACATTTTATGAAATATTGAAGTTTTGAAATACTGAAAAATGAAATTCAAAATTTCTGGAATATTTTGAAATTATGAAGAAATTATGGACTCGCGTGAAAAATTATGGACTTAGTTACCGGAGTAAGGTGTTTTGCTCTTTGTGTATTTACCATCGCAGAAATTTCAAAAGATGGCAAAACCGGCCTTAATTTTTAAAAACAGTCAGGGACTCTCAGTCTCAGCCTCTCAGGCCTTCAGAGGTTCGGGCCCGGCTCAAAGTGCACCCAGGGCCCAGAGCCGCAGACCCAGGAGGCAGGAGCATGGGAGCTGGGTACAAAACCCTAAAATAAGAACCAAATTTAACACTCAAACCCTAAAACCGCTTAGATGTTTGGCTTGTCTAATTTAGCAGGCTTTGATTTTTACTATAGAGGTTGACCCAAAGGTACATTGAAAAAAATATCTCAGGCAGATAGAAAAATCAAATTCTTAGTATTGACGGGTAATAAACGTGTCTAATCTCATCCCGATTGGGCTATCGGTTCAAAAGTTATGAAAGATTCGAGTCTGTACCAGAAGTCAAACTAAGTAGGCAATATATAAGTCCATCCATACCCAACAGACCTTTTTGGCATTATAGCATACTACCTTAATGGTCTATGGTGGGTTATGTATACGCTTATAACGAGTCTGGATGTATATATCGGGTACCGCGCATTCTTACTGGTATAAAAGGTACTGGTTAGAAAATGAGGTACCCTAAATACACATTCAAACTCGCCATACGCGCACATATAACCCCCCATAGACCCATTGAAGTAGCATGCTGTATTGCCAGAAAGTTCTGTTGGAAATGGAAATATGGATGGACTTGTATATTGTCTACGTGCGAACAGTTCTGGTACAAACTCGAATCTTTCATAACTTTTGAACCAATAGTCCAATCGGGATGAGATTAAGCATACGTTTATTACTCGTTAATAAGAATAATTTGAGTCCCCTATCTGCCAATGAAATAGATTTTTAAATGTACCTCTGGGTCAACCTCTATAGTAAAATTCCCCGGGTTAATAAGTCCAATATTTGATGTTTACCGCTCCTATTCCCCAATCCCCAATCCCCATTTCAGGTTCTCTCATTCGACGTGTCGCCGTCTCACACACTCAAGAGAGAGAGTTCAACTGACACGAAGTGGCATTTCTCAAGTCACAACTCAAGTGACCATTTCTTATTGTTTATGATCATAAGGAGTCTTTAGAAAGTAGTGGACTCTAGCTAATAGAGGATTGAATTGTGAATGCGGAAGTGGCAGCTTTTGAATATCAAGCTGTGTGACAACTGACAACTGACAACAGTAAATAGTGAATCGTCACTTTACCGCTGTAAAGCAACTCGACTACGAACAATTGATTAAATCTGACATACTATTATACAACATAAAATCACAACCATTTCACATTTCTTAGACGTCGAGAATGCGCTTAATACCAGACTCAGGGTACCAATCGGGTCCACTACTCACGGCCGCGAAGAAGGATGAATGGCGCAGGTGTAAAGATATTTTCAATGTTTTTTGTGTGACATACATACACACATACACACACACACACAC